GCTCAGAGCCTGGAGCCTATTTCAGAGTCTGTATCTCCTTCTCTCTCTCTGACCCTCCCCTGCTCACGCTGTCTCTCTCTCTCTCCTAGAAATAAATAAAAAATTTTTAAAAAAAAAATTTAAAAGTTTATTATAGGTTGCTTCCTTCCCCCTCTATTTGTAACTATTTTTCCCCCTTCCCTTCCCCCATGGTCTTCTGTTAAGTTTCTCAAGATGGGTGGGGAACTTAAAAAAAATAGGGGCACCTGGGTGGCTCAGTCGGTTAAGCATCCGACTTTGGCTCAGGTCGTGATCTCATGGTTTGTGGGTTCAAGCCCCGCGTCAGGCTCTTGTGCAGACAGCTAGCTCAGAGCCTGGAGCCTGCTTTGGATTCTGTGTCTCCCTTTCTCTCTGACCCTCGCCCCTGCTCGCTCTCGCTCTCTCTCTCTCTCTCTCAGAAATAAATTTAAAAAAAAATTTTTTTTAAAGTAAAAAAAAAAAAAAAAAAAGCTGTGGAACTCAAAGATGGGATTTAATCTCCCATGGCCCAGGGTGTGAGGAGCATGAATCCAGTGAAAAAAAATTTAGGGAATAGCCATTCCAAAATAGGTCCATCTCTGGGTTTACCTCCTGCATCATTCTAGAGCATTCTAACCTACTCCCAACCCAGATGCTATTACCCTTATTTGCTTTGGCCCTCCTGTCCATTTATAGGTGTTTTAAGGATTTCCAGTTGCAGCAGGCCAATAAAATGGAGTTGCGAAAGCAACAAGAAGATGTGAGTGTGGTCCGTCGCACTGAGTTCTACTTTGCTCAGGCACGATGGCGTCTGACAGAGGAAGATGGACAGCTAGGAATTGCGGAACTAGAGCTGCAGCGGTTCCTCTACAGCAAGGTATCGAGTAGATACAATCACGTAAAGAGAGCTGTATTGAGAGACACTGACCTATCTCAGGAGTCATAACTGAGAAACAAAGAGGCTAATTATTATATGATTACTAATGGCGGTCTTAATAATTATTAATGATGATAGGCACGTGAGCAGAGTTCCCCTTAAACACAACTATTTGTAATATTAAATAATACAGATATGGATGAGCTGGATCAAATGCTGTTTTCACTGAATAAGATTATCGCTAGAAAAATGGCCCAGAGGGAAGTAATCTTCCAAGTCCAGCTTGGAATAGAATTAATTCTATACTGACATTCAGCTTTCCTGCAATAAATAACCAATGGCATGGAGGCGAGGACATGATTCATTATTCTACACTTAATCTACACTCCTTCTTGTGACTTTGGAAAATGAATGAGGCCATTTTTGACTATCACAGTGACTGGAAGCATTACTGGCATTTAGTACTCTTGTTAGTGCCCATGAGAAAAACTGGATTAAAGGGTGAATTGACTGTATGAAAATGAAAGGGATACCAAGGGTTGGGATTAAATATATCAAGAACCTGAAAACAGGATACGTAGCAATCCTCTAGCAAGCTCCTGAGAAAGACTTATGATAGTATATGTGGTGCCGGTGGGGGTGGGGGGGACGGGAATCTGTCTTTATAGGTAAAGGGGGAAAATCTGTCTTTATAGGTGAATAAGTCTGATGACACAGCAGAACATCTTCTGGAGTTGGGCTGGTTCACTATGAACAACCTCCTCCCCAATGCTGTCTATAAGGCAAGTCTTACTTCCCATCCTGCCCCATTCTCATACTTCCTAAAACAGGGCATTTGTAATGGCCCTTCCCCATAAACCCACTATGGCAAATACTGTGGTGATCTGAGAGGTGGAAAGCTTGCCCAGCTTCGCAGGACTATTGCTTTTCCTCTTAGTCTGTAGGGATTTGTGGGTAAATTTATCACTCTTTATCTTACAGGTAGTCCTTCGGCCCCAGAGCTCCTGCCAGTCTGGGCGACAGCTAGCCCTCCGCCTCTTCAGCAAAGTCCGGCCCCCTGTCGGGGGTATTTCTGTTAAGGAACACTTTGAGGTTAGTAAACAGTCCTTTGGGGACCCAGGAACAAAGGGCACTCAAAAGCGATCTGTGTGTTATTATGCTACATTAGGGGTAGGTAAACTGAGGGATGATGTCTGAGCTTAATTGCTTCTTCAGCCTTTTTCCTCTTTAGGTAAATGTGGTGCCTCTCACCATCCAGCTGACACACCAGTTCTTCCATAGAATAATGGGCTTTTTCTTTCCTGGCCGAAGTGTGGAAGATGATGAGGTTGGTGATGAAGAAGATAAGTCCAAACTGGTGACTACTGGTGAGAACTTTTATGGTGGAGATCCAGAAGACCGGGGTAGCAGCCCCAGAGATAGCTGAAGCTTCAGAAAGAGGACAACAGCTGGTGTGCTTGCTTTTCCATAGGAATACCAGTGGTTAAGCCTCGGCAGCTGATTGCAGCAGATGACGCAGCACCACTGGGCCCCGGGAAGGGTGTTGCACAAGGCTTAAATCGGAGTTCTGGTGTCAGAAGATCATTTCGGAAAGTACCTGAGGTACCAGACATACCCCTGATGACAGAAAGATGGAAGAGTCTTAGAGTTCTGTTTGGGTCAGCTGAGGATTTCTTGTTTCCTGAGTCTTTCCTAGGGATGAAAGAAGATGAAGATGTTTGGGGTCCTCAGTTTCTTCTGATGGTTTCAAGGGCTCACATTCCTTTCCTGCCTTTCCTAGCACCCTGTGGATGATATTGACAAGATGAAAGAGCGAGCTGCCATGAACAACTCCTTCATCTACATAAAGATTCCACAGGTTCCTCTGTGCGTCAGCTACAAGGTCTGCTCCTCCCTAGTACTTTCTAGAATAGGGTGGGAAGGGAACCAGATAAGATCAGAGATTAAAATTAGGCATGACAGGGGCGCCTGGGTGGCTCAGTCGATTAAGCGTCCGACTTTGGCTGAGGCCATGATCTCACAGTTCATGGGTTCGAGCCCCGCGTCGGGCTCTGTGCTAACAGCTAGTTCAGAGCCTGGAGCCTGTCTTTGGATTCTGTGTCTCCCTTTCTCTCTGACCCTCCCCTGCTCATGCTGTCTCTCTCTCTCTCTCTCAAAAATAAATAAAACATTAAAAAAATTTTTTAAAAATTAGGCATGACAATCTAGATTGTGAAGCTGGTCTTCAGGTAATTGCTGTTCCCTCTGCTGCCTTCAGGAGTCAGTACCATTACAGGATTAGGTAAAGAGAAATCAGTATCTTTAGATTGCTGCTGCAGGAAAGTCCTAGACTTGGACTCAAGCATTAGATTGGACTGGGTGCTCATTTCGGCAGCACATGTGCTAAAAAAACAATTAGGTTTGGACGAAAAATGGCAGCTGATCTTTTTGCTCTTCTTTTCTCTCCCCTCTCCCTCCTTCTCTTGCAGGGTGAGAAGAATAGTGTGGATTGGGGTGATCTTAACCTTGTGCTGCCCTGTCTGGAGTACCACAACAACACATGGACATGGCTGGACTTTGCCATGGCTGTCAAGAGGGACAGCCGCAAAGCCCTGGTTGCCCAGGTATCCCGCCAGAGTTCATGGCTGTTTGGTTAGCAGGGGCTCACAAACAGATCCTGTGCTCGGGAGCATTTCAGTGTAGGACATGTGTAGGACAGGTAGCCTTGGCAATGGGCAGGTGAATGAAATGAGTAACTTTTATCCCTGCCCTCTCCATGACTTTGGTCAGATGTTTAAATGTTTGTCATGTATGTCATGTATGTCAAGTCTGTTGAGTTTTAGGGAACTGAGGGCTGATGCATTTCAGGTTTAGAATAGGTTCTAATTCAGACTGTAAGCTTCTTGAAAGCAGAGATCATTTAATAATGTGAATTGCCCCATTGTGCCTTCACGTAAGCTTAATAAATTCGTTTTGACTTGGTTCACAGTGATTTATTCTGTCTGTTCCACTAATATTTACCTTCCCTTTTACCCCTCTCTAACCTATCAGGTAATCAAAGAGAAGCTAAGGCTGAAGCCTGCAACAGGGTCTGAGGTCCGGGGAAAGCTAGAAACTAAATCAGACCTCAACATGCAACAGCAGGAAGAGGAGGAGAAGGCCCGGCTCCTCATCGGCTTGAGTGTGGGCAACAAGAACCCTGGCAAGAAGTCCATCTTTGGCAGGCGCAAGTGACCCAGCACCCAGGAGTGGCCGCAGTGCAGGATCTGACTCTGGCTCAGGCCCCAGGGACTTGTGGGGTGCGAGGCGCTGCCCCTCCTCCATCAGGATTTGCGGTGGTCAGGAGCTCACAGGGTACTGTGGAGGGAGGCACTGCTCTTTTGGCAGCTGGCCTGTTCCCTGCAGAACACGGTGGATAATACTGCTGAGTTCTACCTCACACTGATGAGCAGGCCCAGGGCCAGAGAGGCATCAAGAGAGCAAGACCCAGGGATTGGGCCCAGGATCAGGATCTGGTTCCCTTGGGGCCAACTGAAAGGGTGGGAGGGACAGTTCTGATCAAGTGTGATAAATTTTTATAGACCTATATATAAATTCATACATATATATTTCTAAGTGTAACTGCTCTCCCTCTGTGCTAGAAAGTTGAGGGGGGAGCCGATCTCCTGTTCCTCATTCCATTGCCTTGTACAAGAGGTGTTAGGGCTCTGGGGCGAAGTCAGCCCCTCCTCAATCTGTGCCAAGTTCAGTAGGGAAAATGGCAATAGGAGTCAGGGCTGGTCATGGATCCCCCTGGGGTATGCCCTGGAGAATGGAAAGAAAATGACTTAAAGAGAAAAAATATATTTTAATTTTTTTTTTTTTTTTTGGTGTGTTAAGTGCATGAGTTCAACCTGTGTCCTTCTCTCCCCATCAACCCAAGACATATCCACTAGCTGCCCCTCTAATGAGGATGGCCTTGTCCCTCCTCCATGAAGCCATATCACAGATACTTCCCAGCTCTGGTGTGACACTGGCCCCATGCTGATAAGTCTCTGCACATTTTAGTTCTGGCGATGAGCTTATTCGTAACTGGGGTGGGGGATAGGATTTGAGGCTGAGTGGGGTTTGGCTGCAATAGCAGGGAAGAGGCGGGGCTCATGAGTAATGCAGCTTCATGGGGAGGAATCACTTATGTAACTGGGACAGCAGATTTAGCAGGTGGAGAGAGGAGGCAGAGGCTCTGGATGGGAACAGTGAGCTGTCGGCAGGGGTACCATGCCCGGGTGCTTGCTTCTCATAAGGTAGGCTGTGGGGCTCTGGCAGCCTGTTTAGGGGAGGTGAAGGAGACATGGGCTTGAGGCCTGGGAACTGAGCGGTGAGGAGAATGTTAGTGATGCCCACTGTGGAGGTGAATTGAGAGGCTATACTATGAAAATATCCCAGCCCCATACTGAGAGGTACAGGCTGAATTTGTGGTGCTTCTTGGGGAAAATGTCTACATACTGCTTTCCTAGAGGATTTGAATCATGTCCAGGAAATCTAGGCCTTGGCCCAAAGCAAGGGTGGTGGCAATTTTGACTGGTGCTCAAAAACATCTCTCTACAGTTAAGATTTGAGGGTGTCCCTTCTACGGTGGGTAGAATTTGTAATGCCTCAAGGGCAGAGGTTTAGAGTGGCTCCCTTGGTTCTCAGCAGGGTGGCAACATCCAGGGTCCCTGGGTCCGAGGCTGGAAGAGCCTCTGGTCAGGTGTGGGGACTGCCAGGTCAGGTCTGGAAGAGCTGTGGGGACTACGGGGGCATCAGTGCCTACACCAGGAGCCCCTGGAGCCGGCCCCGTTGCTAATAGAGAAGCCTCTGTCTGAGTGGCCACTGCCTCAGTTCATCAACCTTTTTCTGCCGGAGTTTCCCATTAGGCCCCTTAGGGGGCATCACCAGCTGAAGGTAGGTCAGTCCCTGGAAGGGGTCTCAGTCTCGGGGGAGACATCTAGAAATGGCCAGAGTTTCAATCGCCCTATTCTTCATTTCTCTGTACAGATTTTAGGACCTGTGGCTAAAGGCTCCTTTGGAATGGTCCTCAAGGTGCTAGATTGTGACCAGAAAACAGTATGTGCGGTAAAGGTAGGGACCTAGGTGTTCTTCCTAATCATTCTCTAGTCCCTGCTTCCAATTTTGATTTCAGAGAGGTTGGGAGACCTAAACAACCTGTAGGAGTCATCACTCCTCTCCTTTTATAGGTGGTGTCCAAGGTAAAGGTCCTACAGAGGAGCATCCTGAGGCAGTGCAAACAGGAGGTTAGCATCCAGGTATGCACAGAGCCCTGGACTGGAGCCTCGGAAGAACTGACCCACGGGTGGAGAAAGCACTTTCCTGTGCAACCGCCCTGCTCTTCCTTCTTCTGCCCCCTCCCTCTGCTTCCGCCAAAGCAGATCCTGGGAAAGGTAGTTATCAGCAGGTAATTCTAGGTCCTTCCAGGGAAACCTCTCTAGTATGTCCTAGTGTGTTCGTAGTATCATGCTGGTTTGGGGATTACCAGGTAGGCAGTCCCTACTATTTTGTTCACCTGAACTGAGAGGTAGGGCAGCAGCTCCCTTTTTGCACAACTAGGTTAAATTCTGACTTCTTGGCTACCTTGACCCTCAGTGCCCTTTTTCCTCCCTAACTTCCTGTTTTTTTCATCCCTAGCGACAGATCAACCATCCTTTTGTACACGGTTTGGGGGACACTTGGCAGGGAAAACGGCACCTCTTCATTAGTGAGTGACTGGCCTCTCTCATTTCCAAGAGGCATCCTATCGTACTCCCCACCTGAGATTACCCATCCCTCTGGCTTGTTCTCCCTTTGCCGTTTCCCTTCTCTGAGCACTTCTGTCTCCCAAAGGGAGAGGGAACAACATGGGGCATCAGTTTGGGCAAGAGGCCTAAGATGCCTTTGAGCCCAGGCACATTACCCCCCAGTATTGCCTAGACTTCTGGTGCTTTGCAGTGTGCAGCTACTGCAGGACAGATCTGTACTCCCTGTGGTCCTCTGTCGGCTGCTTGACTGAGGCCTCCCTCCGCCTCTTTGCTGCTGAACTGATTCTGGTGCTGTGTAAGTGAAACCGAAATGGTAATGGAATTGAGGGAAGAATTCAGGGGGAGGGGCAGAGAGAAGAGAAGTGGTGTTAACTCTGGAGGTCAAAGAACAGGGATAGGGATGGGATGGGAAGTACCAGGGAAACTGGAAAGACAGGAGAGCTTTAGCGGACGCCATTACTTGCTGTCATCCACAGGCTATCTCCATGATCTGGGCATCATCCACCGAGATGTGAAGGTAGAGTTAAGTGCTTTTTCTCTTTGTCTGAGGTGGGGCATCAGTAAGAAGTGCCAACAGATCCAAAAAGGAGAGGGGAGCTGAGGATAGCTGACCTTGGGGTTCTCATGGGTGCTAAGGATTTGGGCACTCAGATCCCTCAAAGTATAGACTTGAATGCTGAATAGGGCATCTTCCTCAGCTGACAGGTATACATGATAAAAGAAGGTCGAAAGGAAGATGAATAATAACTTCTCACTTGTGATTTTTCAGATGGAGAATATCCTTCTGGATGAACGAGGTAAGTCCTTTTCTTTTCCTGGTCCCAGAATGAGAGGGACCCTCAGTTTGGGAATGTCATGGCTAATGAGGGGTGGAACACAGTGGTGCCATTGCCTTATCTTTCACAGGCCATCTGAAACTGACAGACTTTGGTCTGTCCCGCCACCTGCCCCAGGGAGCCCGAGCCTATACTATCTGCGGCACTCTTCAGTACATGGGTGAGACAGGGGCTGAAACCGGGGGGTGAGCATTGACAGAAGGATAGCCAATTGATGTCAGTGACAACTGTCTTTCAAATCTAGCTCCAGAGGTCTTGAGTGGAGGGCCTTACAACCATGCTGCTGATTGGTGGTCCCTGGGTGTCTTGCTTTTCTGTCTGGCAACTGGGAAGGTGAGAAAATGGTAGGGATGCTGTGCAAAGAGAGGAGCTCTGCCCTGTAGTGGGAAGAAGAGCTTAGGGAATCGTGCCTTATTCCTACTAAACAGTGACACCTCCGGTCCCCCTCCCCATCCCCCACCTCTTAACTCAGTTCCCAGTGGCTGCAGAGAAAGATCATGTGGCCATGTTGGCAAGTGTGACCCACTATGATTCTGAGATCCCAGCTTCTCTTAATCAGGGGCTCTCACTCCTGCTCCATGAGGTAAGGGTGAACACTCCTTCTTGACTACCAAACCATTCAATTCTCTCCTTTCCCTATTACTGAAATGAGATTTCCCCATTCCTCCAATAATTTGGTGAGTGTGTGTGTGCACGTGCACACGCATGTGCTCTAACTTGATCAAGTACCACCTCCCCACCTGCCCTCTAACTGGCATTTGAAATTTCAGTTCTGAGTTCCTCATCCTTCACATCTCCTCCCCACCCATAACCGGTCACTGCTGAGAGGGCCAGTGCTGCTCTCTTACTAGGACAGTGCCTCTATTCCCACCTTTGCCTGCCCAAATTAGCCCATTTCTCCCTCTTTCAGATCCTCTTCAGGATTCTTCTTTGCCCTCCACAGCTCCATGAACTTCTCCTTTTCCAGCTTTTCTGTTTAGCCCTTCTCCTATCTCATCTACCCTTCATGCTCTATTCGCCTTCAGCTCTTATGCCAGAATCCCCTCCACCGTCTACGTTATTTGCATCACTTCCAGGTCCACCCTTTCTTTCGGGGTGTGGCCTTTGACCCAGAGCTCCTACAGAAGCAGCCAGTGACCTTTGTTACGGAGACACAAGCTACCCAGCCCAGTCCATCGGAGTCCATGCTTTTCAAGAACTTTGACTGTAACCTGGAGTCCTACCTGGTCCGTCCCAGCCTTGCTCGAGCCCCTCTACTGTAGCTTGGGGCCTATATGGGAACCTAAGGATCTCCTCCACTGCCAACTCAGTATGACCCCTTTGATGATCTAGTTTGTTTTTACTCTGTAGCCTCTTAGCATTCTATTCTATTACTTGTTGGACCAGAGTTCAAATCTTGGGCGTTCTGCTATTGGTAGCCACACTTGGCCCTACTCCTCCCTACCCCCTAATAAACTCACCTCTCAATTCAACATCTCAGATCAGAGTGTTGACCTTTTCCTTTGCTTCATTTCTCCGATGCTCATACCCAGAGGCTTATTCTGCTTTTCCCTTTCCTTGTTTCTCTGCCATATTTCCTTTCTTGAGCAATAACACTAAATGGAGTCTCAAGGTGCTATTCATGTCAGAACTATGAATGTTTTCAAAAGTCTCAAAGGCTGGCATCACAACCCCTAAATATGCAGCTAAAACATATGATCTGGGGACTCAAAGCCAGTGTGTGATAAATCTAATATTTAAAAATTTCAAAAGTGAATCTAATAGCCTAATGTGAGGAATAGGAACTGAAACATGGGTGGGTTAAATGTCTTTTCTAGGGCTAATTGGAATGGCTCGAATTTTTTTTCCAAAACAAAGTCTCTTTGTAAGACACAAGGATTATTAAACTGATTATTTCCCTACATGGCCTGGGATTCAGTTTCTGGCGAGCAAACAAAGGGATTAAGAGGCATGACACCAACCTTAAGATCTAAGGTTAGAGCTGCATTTCAAGAACCTTTCCTTTTTTTTTTTTTTTAAATTTTTAATGTTTATTTTTGAGACAGAGACAGAGCACAAGCAGGTGAGGGGCAGAGAGGGAGACACAGAATCCGAAGCAGGCTCTAGGCTCTGAACGGGCTCAAACTCATGAATGTGAGATCATGACCCAAGCTGAAGTTGGATGCCCAACTGCTGATCCACCCAGGCCCCCCTCCTTTTTATTTTTTTAAAAATGTTTATTTTTGAGAGAGAAAGAGCATGTGGGGAAGGGGCAGAGAGAGAAAGAAGAGAGAATCCCAAGCAGGCTCCACGCTGTCCCCACAGAGCCTGATGCAGGGCTCAAACTCAAACCATGAGATCATGACCTGTGCTGAAATTAAGAGTCTGATGTTAAACAGATTAAGCCACCCAGGTGCCCCGAATCTTTTCCTTTAATAAGGAAAATCATTTGGACCTTAAGTTTGTATATATTTCTGGCATTTATAAGTTCTTTTCATTTTTCTAAACTTCTCAAAACCTTCATTTAAAACAGTTTTTTAAAAAACTTGGTTTATTGAAGTACTCTCTACACCCACTGTGGGGCTGGAACTCAACCCCAAGGTCAAGAGTCACATGCCTTTCGCACCAAAGCCAGCCAGGCACCCCTCAAAACCTTCATTTTATCATTCTTCAGTTATATTTGTTCTCTCTTTACAGACTAGAGAGAGTCTGGAAAGTACTCTGTGTGTTTGTGTTTATTAATTCTGTCTCTGGATTAAGCCAGATTTCCCCTGTATAGCTGGCATTTATTGGCCTCTACAGAATTGCTTTTTCTGGATTGTGCTTTGGCAATCCGTAGCAAAATCCCCGTGAAATTTAATAGCTGTGGCTGTTGTAACGAGTGTTTATCACTACAATTCATAATGTTCTGTTTAAGGATGCATGGGAGAAATTTCCTCTGAATCCACTTGTGCTTTTCCTGAATTGCTGTTTGATTTTTACCTTAAAGATGCTAAATATTCCACTGACTGTATTTTTTCCTTCATATCCGTGCTAGGCCACTTAGAGCCTAATCTGTGGTCCATTTCCAGCAAGTGTTTAGGACTTTGTATTGTATTATTTCGTATGCTAGCCACATTCTTGGTTCCATCTTCCTTTTTTATCTTTATTCTCCTTATTTTCATTTTTCTGTTTAATCTTTTTTTACTTTATTATCTGCATCTTTGTAAGCCTTTTTGGAATGAAGTTGGGATATAAATGAATAAATAAATGTAACAGTAGTCCTTTTGATTATCCAGTTTGTTTCTTTTTAGACTTTTTTTAAGCTTAACTACATTTTTTTTAAGTTGTAGTGACTAGAACTGCACATTGGATAAAAACCCTGAATACTTGTAATAGAGATTAATGGTTTCTAAAGCAGTTAAGAGCATTAGACTAGTGTCTGGATCCACCAATAGCTATCTTGGAGTCTTTACACACAAGGTATTTTAACTTCTCTGGATTGTAGTTTCCTATATATAAAATGAAGGGGTTATAATCACTGATTTTTTTTTTAATATTTTTATTTATTTCTAGGAGAGAGAGACAGTTGAGCAGGGGAGGGTCAGAGAGAGATGGAGATACAGGCTCTGAAATAAGCTCCAGGCTCTGAGCTGGCAGTCAGCACAGAGCCCGACGCGGGGCTCGAACCCACGAACCGCGAGATCATGACCTAAGCGAGTCAGACGCTTAACCGACTAAGCCACCCAGGCGCCCCTATAATCACTGATTCTTAATCGGGCAGAATGGGCTTCAGAGTTCTGTGATGCTTTACCAAAGAGCGGATGCAGATGATTTTATGATACTGTGTGTCCTGGTCCAATGTTAATGTTCAGGTCACTCAACATTATATAGCTTGATCACAGCAGCATGTTGGGTTAAGGTCTTTAGGACATGGTCAGTATGTCACTAGGGTCCCTTTCTTAGGTCATATCAGATAGCTCTAAGTCCATATTCATGAAAGCGTAGTTTGAATTATTTCTTATTAAATGTCATTTTTAAACATATTCTCTCCAATCAGCAGGGCACTATAGCAGTGATTCTCAGGGTAGAGTGGAGAGGGTGATAGAAAAATTGAAGTTTCAGAAGCTATAATTTGAAAAAGCACTGTCCTCACCCATAGTTTTGATATGCTCATCCCTGGAAGGCATTCTTTCCCCCCACCCCCCACCCCCACTTAGAATCACTGGCCTATGAATACCTTTTACTTACCCGTCACTTAAAGATATTTTTTAAGTTTAGTTTGAAAGTGAGTACACGCCTGCACATCTGTGAGCGGAGGGAAGGGCAGAGAGAGAGGGAGAGAGAATCCCATCATAAACCATGAGATCATGACCTGGGCCAAAATAAGAAGTAGGATGCTTAACCAACTGAGCTACCCAGGCGCCCCTAAAAAACATCTTTATATACAACCTGAAATCATCTTTTAAGTTAACCCTATGCTTTGATTTTTCATTACCTAGAAGAAATCAGATACACCTATCAATATGGATAGTTTACGCTGTACTCCCCTCTATCTTTTCTAATATCTTTCTAATATAAGATTAGTCTTAACACCAATCTGTATACTCTCCTTCTAGAAATGTATCTTTGCAGTTCTACTCATTGTTTCTTACCTAAGTTTCTTTTCCATGTATTGATCTGTTTACTAGTTCATTGATTTCACAAACTGGTAATAAAAATTCCTTAGTTAACTTCTTTAAATAAATTCAATATAAAAATCTTGTCAAAGTTTTTTAAAAATAAAATCTTATTCAATGCATTATTAATCCCTGTTCAATCACAGGCTGAATTTTGTCTCCACCATATCCCCCCTTCTTGCATTAATACATTGAAGTCCTAACCCTCAGTACTTCAGAATGTGACTATATATATGAAAATAGTCTTTAAAGATGTAATTAAGTTAAAATGAGGTCATATATGGGTTGGCCCTAATCCAATGATTGATGTCCTTATAAAAAAGAAATTGGCGGGGAGGTGCCTGGGTGGCTGTTGGTTAAGCTTCCAACTCTTGGTTTCGGCTCACGTCATGATCTCATGGTTCGTGAGTTCAAGCCCCATGTTGGGCTCTATGCTGACAGCGTGGAGCCTGCTTGGGATTCTCTCTCTACCTCTCTCTCTGCCCCTCCCTTGCCCGCATGTTCTCTCTGAAAATAAACTTTAAAAAAAAGAAGAGAAAATTGGGACACAGACACACAGAGGGAAGACCATGTGAAGATACAGGCAGAAGACAGCTATCTATAAGCCAACGGAAGAGGCCACAGAAGAAACCAACTCTACTTGGTCTCCCTTGATCTTGGACTTCTAGCCTCCAGAACTGTGAGAAAATAAATTTCCGTTGTTTGAGCCACCCAGTCTGTGGTACTTTGTTATAGCAACCCTACCAAACTAATACAACCAGTATGATGAGTTCTTTTTTTTTTTTTTAATTTATTTCTGAGAGAGAGATGGAGGCAGCATGAGCAGGGGAGGGTCAGAGAGAGAGGGAGGTACAGAATCCGAAGCAGGCTACAGGCTGTGAGCTAGCTGTCAGCACAGAGCCCGATGCGGGGCTCGAACCCACAAACCGTGAGATCATGACCTGAGCCGAAGTCGGATGCTTAACCGACTGAGCCACCCAGGCGCCCCTGATGAGTTCTAATATATTAATCAGCAATGATTATTTACAAAAAATCATGCTACCTTCTTCCTTATAGTTTGGTTTTGCTTATATTCTGAGGAACATATTATTTCAGATTTCACTGGCCTATCCATGAGTTTTGCTGGTTTATGGAGCCTCACTGATTAGCAGCTGTTACACTGCCTTCTTTGTTCAGTACTCTCCTCATACATATCATACACATACCCCACCATATATACATACACCATTCACTGAAGCAGGGCTACTAATTCCACAGTTTCATCCTTGAGTTCACTTAGAACTGCATGGTACATACTTCTCAGAGTTGCTGATTTGGCTTATGTAATTACATTTTTACAAAATAAATAATCTCTAATCCTAAAATTAAAAGCTGTAAGTATTGGGGCACCTGGCTGGATCAGTTGGTAGAGAATGCAGCTCTTGATATTGGGGTTGTGAGTTCAAGCCCCACAATGGGCACAGAGATTACCTAAAAAAGAAACAAAAACCCAAGTGTTTTTAAATATCTGAATCCCTACTTCATATCATATACAAAACTTAATTCCAGATACATTAGGGATTTAAATGTGATCATCAAAACATAAAAATTTTAGAAGAACGTGTGGGAGACTAGATTGACCATCAAAGGATGGAGGAGATGCCTAAATCAAGACAGAAATGAAAGCACTTATAAAAACATATTTATGTAAAGATTTGATAAATGAATGACTCAATCATGACAGTCTTAAAGGAAAGATAAACAACTTGACCACATAAAAGTCTTCTATGTATGACCAAAGATACCATTAATAAAGTCAACAGACAGGGGCACCTGGATGGCTCAGTTGGTTAAGTGTCCTATACTCCTGGTTTTGGCTCAGGTCATGAGCTGTGTTGGGCTCCACACTGACATCATGGGGCCTGCTTGGAATTCCCTCTCTGCCCCTCCCCTGCTTGTGCTCTCTCTCAAAAATAAACTTAAGAAACTTAAGAAATATTAAAAAATAAAATCAATGGACAAAACCATCTAAAAAAGTTTTGCAGTGTGACGACAGTTGTCTATAATATAAATTATAGACAATTTGTAATTGTCTAATTACAAATTAGAATGGAGAAATACCTAT